CGACAACTAGAATTTCATTAAGAATACAAATAAAAAAAAAAAAAAAACACTCTAAACAACACATTACATCTTATCTTGTTAATGTATCGTGTACCTATATACGTGTGTGAATAGTTATAAACTTTCCAATGTGAACAATGAACTTTGATGTTCAGACACTTGGCTCTGTCTGTATTTTGTGAAACGACATTTAACATAGGCACACCGTGTTTATCGATAAGTATCTTAGGCGTAATACAAATTTCTGATAATTCTGCTTTGAAACCTGAAAACAAATATTTCAATAATAAATTTATTAAATTGATAAATTTATCCAATATGTATATGAAATAAAAATGGAGAAAAGAAATTATACGAAATATATTTATAATTTTAAGATTACGATACTTCAGTAATTTGGAATTTAAATTAGGAAAAAAAAAATTATATTTGATATTTAAATGATAGTTCGTTAAGGGAATATATTTATACAGAAAAGATTTTCAAAGAGAAAGTTGAAGTCAGAAAGATTTGTTACGTTTATAAATATGCAAATTGATTTCTTTTAATTAATTACTTTGAAGGAAAGAGTCTTTGAAAATATTGTGCAAAAGATTTTCAAAGTTTGTTAAAGCTTGTCAAATTGGAATAACGAAGTTGGCAGATCATTAAAATATAAAGGATAAAATGGAAATTATTTGGATTACATATATTCAGCTTTGAAAAAAGTTATAATTCTTTGATGCTTTATTCAAGGTATGTAAATTAAATCAATATAAAATATCATATGCGAATATAGTTGAACTAAAATATAAAAATTATTCTGAAAAATATAATATTAATTTACTTACCTAATTAAATGGTTGAAGATAATTGTATATGTGGATTAGTGGCAACTGCATAATGGCTAGCAGAATATTAATTGACAATTGACCAGACAGATTTCCTGCAACGAAATCATCATAATGTAATGCCAGAAGAAGGTATACGTATTCATTAATTAATTTTAACAATGTTCGAAATATATTTTCATATTTATATTCTTTCTAATTATTACTATATATACTAATAATATTAAAAAGCTAACGATTTATCATTTTTCAGATTCCAAATTTCTTTTAGAATTGTGAATAATTCTTTTAGAATTGTCATATAATTAAATTATTTATTTACTTGTTAAATTTCCTTTTTATTTAAGAAAATTAATCAATACCATGGGTGTCATCTATCTTGCTACGCTAATAACATTACACTTTTCTTTGTAGTGAAAGTTATCACGCATTTTTATCTTATCTCCATTCATTTTTACACGAGAGAAAAATCTAATTATTATAAACGATTATTTCAATTTTTTTTTTAAATTCAAGAGATTTCGCTACGATAGAGAAATTGGGTCGAAAGGCCACACAATTCATAAGGCATCAAGTGTCTTACAAATGTCAAAGGTGCATAATTCTAAGCTATCTGAGAATTCCTCTTTTAAATTTCACAAAGAACATCTCTCCAGTTCCTTCCTCCTTTTGAGGTCGATAACAGCATACTTTTTTTTCTATCTTCAATATCATTTCGAAATCGGTCAATCGTCTCGTTAAAACTCGATAAACATGTAGATAATTTACCCATTTTGTTGGAAAATATACAGTACAATATTTCTTCAGAGGTCTAGATATTTTAATCGAATATCATTTTCTATAAACTTCGATTCCGTGATCAAAAGTTTACGAGATACGATGTCATACAACACCGTTACATTATTTTAAGTCACGAATCGCTAATGCTAAACTGCATGTTTTTTAAATTAGGAAAATTTCTTCTTCCTTTTAGTCTCTCATCCCTGCATCAACAGAAAGGGTTTCCATTAGCAGTAAGAATTAACTCCCTTCCACGGCTAATTACTTTCTTATTTGTGAACTTTCTTCTTTTATCTATCGTTTCCTCCATTAACTTAAGAAACGGTTTCATTGCTCGAAACTTTTTCCCATTGGCCGATTTAATCGTTTGCCAAGATAATAGAAGAGAGAGAGAGAGAGGAGGGATGATTGTAAAGGTGGATACAGGAACAGGAAATATAGGATCCTTCAAAAGGATGCCAAAAGTGGATAGATAGAAATAGAAAGAGAAGATGTAACGGAGATATACTTTAATATACTTTAAAAAGATGAATAGAGCAAGAGAGAGAAAGAGAGAGATAGGAAAAGAGAGATATGAAGAAAAGATGAATGTAACAGTGGTTGTATGGTACAGAATGCTTCGAAAGAATGTAAAAAGGTAGAGAGAAAGAGATTGAAAAAAGGTGAATGTAATACTATGTTTCAAAAGGATGTCAAGGGTGGATGAATAAAGAGAGAGAGAGGAAGAGAAAATCTAAGAAAAGGACAGACATAACGGAATGGTATAAGATGTTTCAAAAATGGGCGAACGTAAAATTTAATCGTTGATGAAAGAAGTTTTCAGATGAGAATAAGGATTTTTTCGATAATGTTCGATTTAATCATTGGATAGAAATTTGTTCCGCAATGAAGATATATCTTGGAAAGTTCGGTTAACTTAATGGAAGAAATTTTCCACGAGGAAAAGGATGTTATGTATGGAGACATGTTAGTTTGAACAATTTAATAATAATCTTCAATGGAAGTTGCCTTTCCTGAAAATGAAGTTCCTTTCCTTATTTTCAAATGCACTTTGTCTTCCTTGTTAAACATTCGTTGTCCAAATGAATAAATAAGTTTTGAATTTCTGATGATTCGTAATATTGAATTTTGAAAAATTCATTTATATTTACGTAAAATTAATTTACTTCATGCTTGAATATTTATCTTTGATAAAACTAACTGTTCATCGTTCGAATTTGTATAAATATTAATTTCAATGAAATATTTACGAAGAGATGTATAGTTTCCATTATGAAGCATATTGTAAACACTTGATGTTTGTTTATTTATCCGATGTTTAGCAGTTGTGTGTATATTCTTTGTATCATATCATATGCAAATATTGGTTATTTTGCTAAAGCAAGCGGCATAGTTAGCATCAATATTTTGCTTAGCAATGTTAAACCTTAAAAGCAATCTATTTTGGATGAAATTACCCGAAATATTTTTATTTAAGTTTCATTGATAAAGCTTTTAAGCGTTAATACATAAATACAAAATGTCTCAGAAGAAATACCAAAGTGCAATAAAGTGCTAAAAACACGGTGCTAAAAGCAAATTTGTTCAAAATTTCGTTCGAAGTGAATTAAGTTTTTTGAATTGAAAAGAAATTCACGTGTAATAATATGTGTATATACAGAAATTATTAATTCTTCTATATATTTTATGGTTTAATATAAGACGAAAATCAAGAATATTAGAAGAATATTTATTCATTATTACTTATTCACAGTTGAAAATCGATTAGAATATCTGTGGATACGAGAAAACATATAAAAGATTCAGAATAGCTATTAAATCCATTAAAAATTATCAATACATCATTAATAACATCGTAAAAATAATATTTTCTTCAAAAATAAAAATACTTATCGTATGATTTATTTTAAAATTCGATTAAAATTAAGTAAACTTTAAACCGCTATAACTTCAAAGATATTGATTTTCAACCAACGAATGAAAAATCATTAGAAGATTCTTTTCCTTTAAAACACTTTTTTATTTATCTCGATACGACTTTTGGTTATCTGGATATCGTCACGTAAAGAAAAGGTAATTTTTAATTATTTACTTTAAACCCTTAAATCCTATTAAAATTAGGAAAACTTTAAATCGTTATAACTCCGAAGATAATGATTTTTTATTAACGAATGAAAGATCATTAGAAGAGCGGAACTTTGCTCTTTAAAACGCTTTTTTATTTATCCCGATACGACTTCCGGTTTCCGAGATATTATCATATAAAGAAAAAGGTAATTTTTGATCGTTTACTATCTCTATCCTTGTCGTTTCTTCGGATCTCTCGCTCGCACTTCGTCTCAGTGACCTATCCCAAACTCCAGACAAATGACAGACGCGATTCCTGGAAGTAGTAGGCATTTCCAGGAAGAAATAGGTCACTGGGTCGTGAGCCCATTCATAAATTTCACACTTTAAAGCGTTACTTTGAATTCTTATATCTCGGCAACCGATTGAAATATTGAGATAATTCAAAAAGTGATTTCAATGGTATACTTTTCTCTGTGTTTTGAAGGTTTTGACGAGCAAATCTTTAATATCTTTTCATATTTTTTTTAATGAAAAATCGAGGTTTCGTTCGTGATTTTGCGTGACTGAAGTGTATAATTGTATTTTTTATATATTATTTGAATTTTATAAAGAAATTTTTTTTGAAAATAAAAATTCTCAATTTTCGTCTTATTTGATAGAATCTCTTTGATATACGATTATTAAATTACGAAAATATACTAAATAAATATAATAAACATTAAAAAAGAGAATTACTTCAATAAATTTAAATTTACAAAGATAAAATAAATTTAATTTTTATTGATTTTCGAATTCTGACTCTGAAAATTGATTGTATTATTTTTAGAACTTCTCAACTTTTTATTAATTTTAGAATTTTACATTGAACGAATAAACAGTTTCGGTCGATACATGTGAATTCCTTTGGAATTTGAATCGTTCAGCCTTGAACTGAGTCAAGATAGAAAAATCAGAGAAATCAGATCAAATTTAAAGACTGTTTAAAGCAATTTTCAAATGTTCACCAGCAAATTCAGGAATTTGGAATCCTATATGCAAGAAAAACAATACCATTGATCTTGTCAAAGTTTCCAATTTTTATAAATAATGGCTTATGGTGGTGATGCGAATAAGAAGAGAAATTTACAAGCCTTACCACCACCATTGCCAGGCTCTGAGTCGTTTAACGTTTGGGTCTCCATTTTGTGCAGCAGCTTCGTTGTAGCAGTTGAAGTAGGCGGCCCTGCACAATAAACACCACATATCGCGTCCATCAAGTAGTAAGCATATATTCCTCTATCAATGTAGTTAAAGTGTTAGAAACAGAAGCAGCCAATTATGATTTTAGTTCATTAGTTAGTTTAACAATATTTTTGTATGAATGCTTTTTTTATTAGTAAAAAGCACAGCGATATTTTAAAATTTTTATGTCTCTAAATTGGTTGGTTTATTTTGAAGTTTAATTTTAAAAAGCAAATTAAAAAGAAAAATTGAATAATGAAGGAATAGAAAATGAAAGTAAGAAAGTAAGATAAACTATGATTTTATATGATAGATTTGTTTGTAAATTGTTTTATATGATGAAGTTACAAAATATTGATTTGTGATTGTTTGAAAATGAAAATGAATTTATAATAAATGAATATATGTATAATTTTATTTTTGCATATTTGCAGAATATATATGTTAAATAAAAACATATATGTACATATGAAATATTCAAATGATCAATGAGTTATTTTGTTTATTTTTCAATCGATCACGTTTAATTTATTGCATTGGTGCTTATTGCTTGTTGTACAGAACAGAGACATATACACTTACAATTGTACACGAGCCAAGGCAATTCGATTTTAAACAATTCAGATATATTTAAATGTTACATACATTGACAAGAGTTATATTATACATTTAATACATTTATAAATACATTTATAAATTAATACCACATTTTTATTAGCAAAGCTTTCCAATACTTACTTCAGAGGAAGTTGTTGCAGGAAGTCGATAGTAGAAGCTCTGTAATTATTTTTAGCATAATAGCTACAAATTGTTAGAAAAGTTCATTTATCATATCTTTATTTATATTTATAAATAATCACTCATTAAAATTTTTTAAATCATTCCTAAAATAATTTCTTCTTCAAAAGATGATATTAATATCAATCCATTTGACAAAAGTGAAGTTTTGCAGAAGAAAGAGAAAATTAATAATTTCATTCTAACTTTATACCTTTTTTTATAAATTATCACATATTCATCTGAAGTATAATTTCGAAAAACTTAAAAGCAAGGTTAAACTAAAGCAATTTAAAACCACCAAGCAAATTTATCCAGGTTATAAAAGCAAACAACTCTACCTGGTAAATATTTACATCACGAAACACGAGTAAATCAAGTCCCGTTAAAGGGTTAACATCAATCGATATCCAAGAGTTAGGAAAATAAAATCGTTAATTCGTGAGCTGCATTTTCTTTTTAATCCCAACTTTAATAACGAGCTACTCCTTTTTCTTTTCTTTTTTTCCTCTAACCCTTCTTTATAACTGTAATACGAAGAGATCAAAAGTAAAACGCTTTCGATACAATTTTTTTCGATACAACAAGAGGAAGATAGAGAAATAGAAAAACGAAGATGCAATCAATTACAAAAGTCTTCACACACTCTATGTGTATTCAATTAATAAACTGTATCATCAAAATTAATAATAATTTTATTTTATATGAATGATTTTTTTTTTTATTAAGATAATATCACTTTGAAGAGAAGAAATCAATTCTTAAATTTTCAAAATAATGAAACTTTGAATATATAAAATGTACAGATCTATTTATTTTTGTTTTTTGTAGAAAAAAATAGAATGATAAATAAAAAAATAGGAAAACTAGAAAAAAAAAAATTCAATAAAAAAAATAAAAAATTTGAAAGTTTTTTTGAGAAGATTTTTAAGAATTTTTTTTTTAAAGAAAGAAAAAATGTTATCTGAAATTTACCATGTACAACAATTTTTATTAAAACAACAATTTCTGAATTGAGTGAAATTTCTCATAAGATAATGCACTGAAGACTTTTGCGGCTAATTGTGGATAGATTAAAATACGTTTATACTAACTGGGATAATAGACGGTTTCGTGGGAAACGTTGTAGTTCGCCTCTGGTATATGGAGCAAGCATAAGATAGTTGTTATATCCGGTAACTCTTCGTCCAGAAAGGTCGTTCGTGATAAGACGTTGAATAGTCCATCGGTACGCTGTATAATATCGAAGGTTTGATTTTCCGGGACACCCCTGTAATGGAAGCGAAACTTGCAAAATTATCACGGCCACGTTCCAACTTGAAATATCATGCAATACGTCGGCTGAACGAGCATTAGCATGGTAATGTTATTTCGAAGACGCATGTGTAATTTTACCTTGAAATTGGGAAATACGAGAGATCGTCTATAATAATGTTTGATCATTGTGAGATGAAAAATATATTGTGAATGGTATAGTTGAAATAGTTCTCTTTTGTTGATTTTGAAATGAAAATTTTTATTATTGAAATGGTTGAAATTTAGGAAAAAGTTTTAACAGCAAAGATTTTTTGAGCAAAAGTTTTAATTGAAAAGAGAATTTAAAATTTGGGAAATCATAGAATTTCATTTTCAGTTTGTCTCAAATTTTAAATATTAAAAAAGTTTTAAATTATTAAAAATATATATAGTTTAAAATTACGAAGAATTTATCGAATTTGAAAGAGATTAAAAGTTGAAAGCTGTTATTATATATAATTTTAGAAATACAAAATGACGCGTAATTTAGAAATTAACTTAAAATTAAAGGAAATATTGCGTATTACTTATATAACTTAAATATATGCCAATGTCATCCAAAAGATAAAATAATTATAATAATCAATATTTTGTTTCGAAGGTTGAAAATTTCAAAGAATATTCAAAATAATGACGATATTTATTTAATACAATTTAACTTTTGCTTTGTTCCTATATATAATTCTTCCATGTATTTCCAGCTTATTATTACAATCTGACAATTTTTTTTGTTATCGTTAAGAAGTTTCTTGTGTTAAGATAAGAAAATACTTATTTTTTTACTTTATTTTTATCATTTATAAATTTTCCATGCATACGAGTTTTCGTTATTAAGTAATGTGATAAAATATTTTTTCTAGAAAATATTAAATAATAGAAGTTGATTTTTTTTTTATTTTATTATGAAGTTAAATATTAAATTTAATATTGTATCGTAATTCGTTAAAATTTATCGTCAAATATATATTTTTTATTTATTAAAAAGATTAAAATATACAAAATATTATGAATAATTTAATTTCTCTTATATTTAAACGAGTTTAAAAAAAATAAATGTATATTTAAATTAAGAATTAATTAGAATCTTAATTAATCTTTCTAAACTAAAATTATAACATATCATATAATGTTTCGTGTACAAACAATTAATTCGTTAACAATGAAAGAGAAGTTTTTATCAAGATCTAAAAATATCTAGAAAATAGAGTAGTTTGTTGTATATAGTTATAGTTAAAAAGCTTGTTAGAGTAAGTACTTACTCGATGGATATGTTAAGAGTAGGTTGTGGATATAGTCCTTCCGCCATGCATGTTATTTCCACCCCATCCTTATCATCTATAGTTTTCTTTGTATATATAAGATCGAACTTTTTCTCTGTTGCTGGAACAAACGAATTATTAATTTATTTAATACGAGATACAATAAATTTCAATTTTTATTATGTTTAAAGTTTCATTCAATACATGCAATGAAAAATATTTATTTATAACTGAAAATAATTATTCGCAAAGAGCGTTAAAAAATTCATTTAATCTTTAAAACCTATTACCATTCATCATATCAATACTTTACATTATTTACAATTTCCACAATTGGTATACAAATCAAAGACATGCACAAGCATAAAGAAAACGAGAACGAAGAAAAAAAGTAAAGCTAAAGAAGAAGAAAATTACGTAACGACGCTAATAAAAAATTGGATCATTACATTTTATTCGGTATAAATCAGCGTTTAAGAAACAATGATAATTAATTATTCAGTCAAAATTGGAAGCAGAATGTACTCACAATATACGATCATGGATCCGCTAGCGGACTTCTCGTCCGCAAACGTGGATATGACGCACCTATATTCTCCGCTAAGTTCGATATCAGGGTTATTTAATTTTATAGCTCGATACATTGTGTACGGATCGTCGCTGGCAGGGTACTTCAGTTCGACATAGTTCGACAACGTATCGCCGGCCAGAGGTTCCCTACCGTATATCCATTGATAGGCCACTTCATCCGCGTTAAAGAACCATTTCACGACTAATCCTTTGCTCGGCGTGTCCTCGAGATCATAATCGCAATCCAGGATCACATGATCGGTGTCGTTGGCTTTCACCATCGACGGTATGGTGACATTTTTTATCACGAGTTGCCAGCATTCTGAAGAATAGCGAAAAAGAACAGTAGTGACGAGAAAGGAAAAAAAAAAAAAAAAAAAGAAGGGTTGTGGACTGCGAAGGATCGATTTACGAGGGAGAGTGAAAGAACGATCCTTTCCTTTTATTCCTATTCTTCGTGCTCAGAGTATTGAAAAAGGGATATGTGGTAGGGTAGATATTCGAGTAAGGCATTGATCGGGTTAGGATCCAGAAGAATTTCTAAATTTCAAGTATTGGAAAATGATACGCGAGAATTCGGTAAAATTGTTAATATTCAATTCTAAGATTATTTTTCCACGTTACTGGAAAACATAAAAGTTTAGGAAATTCGTCCTAATTCTAGAAAATGTCGAGATTCCTGAGAATATCGAGAATCTAAATTCTAACACCATTCCAGAGAATTTTGGACATTATTGGAAAACTCGAAAGTTTCGGGAACGCGTCCTGATTTCAAAAAATTTCAGGATTGTCAGCAATGTTTGGGATTCTAAATTCTAGGAACATTTTAAGAAATCCCAAATATTCTCAGGAATCCCTAATATTATTGGGAAATCTGAAAGTGTCGAGATATTTTTAAAAATTTCTCATTTCCAATTTTGAAAAAAAAAAAAAATATTCGTATTTCCATCTTATCCGATATTCCTGATTCTATCATTGTCGAATATTCGTGATTTACATTTACAACGAAAATTCCAGGAAGAGTCAAAATTTATAATCGAATCTTAATCGAATAATGGCGAGGAACACGGAAAGTTTGTAAATGACACAAATTGTTTCCTAAACGATAAACCAATGTAGCTTAAGGAATTCCCTTGACAAAGAAGTTCGGTGATCTCATTTTGGTAGAATGAAGATTAAGAAGAGTAATACAATTGATAAGAAAAATAAATATATTACAAAGTTTATTCGACTGGTCGAATACAATGTTTCTAAACAACTTGTGCTCTATTAAGCGTAATATAACAAATTTTCTGCCGGAAAATCGCAATAGAATCGAGGACAGGCACACAGTGATCCAGTGACATACAGGACAGTTTCAATGCTGCGACGTAACGGCCACGATGTAATTTAAAATTCCTCCGCTTCTATTAAAGGTGATCATCTCCAATAAGTGCGGTAACGCGTACAATACCTCAGTTGTGGCACGAATTAACGTGTGCACATTTTTTGTTATCAATAAAATTAAAACGTAATTACGAATATATAATTGAATGGAAGATTTCGCTTTAAAATTGATTTTATTAATTATAAAATATTTGTATGTTATATGGGTTATTGGAATATTGCGACTTCAAAGGATTTTTTTTTTTTAAATTCTCGAACGATTTTATTCAATGAAAATTGATTTTTATCGAATATATTTTGATAGATACAATTTTTCTTTATTTTTATCTTTCTTGAAGCACAGAGGGATTAAATAAAGGATTAAATAAATTTTCAAATAAGAGTTAAAGTTAAAAATTGTAAGAATATTTCTTAGAAAATCTAATTGCTAACTAATTTAATTGCTATTTCATATTCGCTTTGACGCCAAGATTTAAGTATTCAAAATCTAATAAGCCGGATAACTAGTTATATTCGTTCTTTAACAGATTGAATTATATATAGGTCTATATTATTAATCTGCTAATCTGATATTTATACAAAATTTAAATGCAAAAAAATCTACAGAATGCATATGATGCACAGAAAACAAAATATTCAAGTATTGGTGTAATAAATTTCATTTTATTTAATTCATCAAAATTGTATTATTTTATTGAATAAATTCTAGTTTCAACAAACAATCGAAAGAAAAAAGCATTGAAAGAAATCTATCATAATTGAGGAATATGAGAGAAATAATAAAAATAGAAATGAAATAATTTATGAGATCTACGTGAAATTTAACATTTACAAATATATGTTAATAGCTTATGAACCAATTTCAGTCATCGATTCATCGATGGCACACGTTCTAAAAATTTTCGATGAATGCTTAAAAATAACCAAGTTCGTTTATACATTCATTTTAAATGTCTGACAGTTGAGCATATATTTGCTTTTTTTACATATGCCAGTTGGCACCGTCTACTATCCAGTATTATATTAACTGTATAACGTTACCTCTGATGTAAGAAGAAACAATGCAATGAAATAAATTCAAATTTGATCAAAAACTATAATGACTAATTTAACAAAGTTTCTTTCGTTTCTTTTTTATCAATATAATTATAACATCATCGTAACTTTTAATTACTCTATTAATTGACTATTTATTCTTCGTAATTATAGGTATAATTTCAAGTAATTATATATTTAATAAGGAAATAATTTCTTTTTTTAAATTCAAATTTCTAAAATCCTTAGACAATAGCTCAATTTGCATTTCAAGGAAGTGTTTAATCTAGTTGCTATTGCTGGACGTGTAAATTACGCGTTTACGTGCACTTAGTAAAACAATGGCGACATGTACTTCAAAAGCGATTAACAGTGACTTGAATCTAATAACTTTGTAACACCAAAGTTCCTATTGGTAAACTAATAAACAAAGTAATTCCAAAGTGATGTATCTTTATATGCAATGTTTAACTGTTGCAATATCATATGGTATTACAAAACACACGTTTATAATTATTTCACATTATCACATTACAAAAATAAAATCTTCTTAACCCGATTCTATTTCTATTCAAAAAAAAAAAAATTCATTTCATTCATAAGTTTTCTAACTAGATCCTTAGTAATCTAACCTAGATCCTTTATATCTGCAATTATTTCACTGTTCTAGCCTCTCAAAAAATTCTAAGTAATTGAAGTTTCCACCTCGTTATAGAACAATCGCTCGTTGAATCAAATACTTAAAAGATTTATAAGAAACTCAAGAATGAAATCTTATTCCAGATATAAATTCAAAAGTTATCTGAAGAATTCCACAAAGAAAATGTGGAGATTTTAAATAAATAACTCGATATATATAATAATCATTTTCCAATTTAAAATACGTATTGTGTCATTTTTAAAGAGGATCGTTCCAAATCAATGCTTTACCGTGCACGAGCCCTCGAGCGGTCGTGTCTATCAGCACGTGATTCACGATGAATGGAAACCCCGCATAAAGGGGAACGATTTTAAGGAAAGAAAAAAAAAAAAGAAAGAAATAAAAAGAAATACGGACAACGCTCCACTTCCGCGCACCTTGCACCCTTCCAATGATAAAGTTAAATTGTAGGTATGTAGGGAAGAGAGAAAAGGGAGAAAAAGCATTGAATAAGTAAAATGATAAGTTAATAAGAATCTGCATGGAGAATCTTGTATTTGTAAAAAAAACGGTTTCTTTTTTAAAATGTTTTTCCACCATCAATCTGTTCAAGAAATCATATAAAATTATCTTCGAATTCGTTCCGAATCGAATGAAATGAAAGTATAAAACGAGCTTGATAATTATAGCGAAAAATTTCAAGCTTATACGTCAATACTCGTCTATTTTTATCTGTCGATATTTCTTTAACCGTGTCACGTGATTACAGTTCTAATTAAACATGTATTAAAATTCCAATGAAAAATATATAATTGAAGGGATCGACAAGAAGAAAAATTCGATCGAGCTAATAATAAACTAGCATTTAAAAATACTCGAAACAAAAATCTCATTGATAAAATTTCCGAAGAAACGAAGCTCGAGGATGAAAGAAAAACAAGACGAAGAAAATTTGCTACGTGATTTCCCTTTTCGTATTCCCGTTTCTATTTCCAAAACCCATCAAATTAGATTGCCTTGGTGGTGGAAATGAGGGCGCGAGAGCCATGAGAGCATCGCTGTTTCGAATGCGAAACGCGGGCCGAAAACGGCGACGCGATGAACAGAGAAGAGGACTGGCACACTCGGATCGGTGAACTGTGGGTCCGCTTAAAAATAGCTTCGAAAGCAACGTGGTAAAGCTCGGTAGAACGATGTGTGCCAAGGATACGGTCGTGGTGTCGCAGAATGTAGGAATTTTGCTCGTTCTATTGCGCAGCAAACTTTTTCAAACAGATTAATCGAAAGCTCGTTCGGTACAGGAGTGTAAACGTATCATTCGATAGGGGAAACGGAAACGAAAGGGGGAAGTGAAGAGGCATAGCGTTCGACTTCGTTATTCTTGCGAAGAGATAAAGCACGTGGCCGTACCGCGTGTGTGCATAAACAACTGGGAAAAAGACGTCCGAAACCCCCACGAAAACGCAACGTAACCGGAAGCAATTTCGTATCGGGCAACTGTATTGGCCACCTGCGGTCCTTCCATTCGAACACCGCGAAATTGAACATTGGGGCATGAATATCATATTAATTGCGCATTCGTTTGTTGGAATTCGTTTATCGTTACGATAAATTGGTCTTAAATATCGATGGATGAAGTTCGAGATTCTATTTGACGAATCGATGCTTGGAGTCTAATTAATTGGATATAAATAAAAGGGTTGCGCACCGACCTTGAACGCATCCCAGCAGAAACAGACTGCAGAGGAACCAGCATCGTGTCATCTTATTCATGGTCCGCTCGCACTTGACACTTTACTCACGACAACCTTTTCTAAGTTGATTAATTGATCTTCGTTCATATCACGACATTTACACGCGATGTCGACACTTGGTAACTCTCGTTACTCGTCGGGAATTCTTTGAAAATTGACAGTGATTGTATAGCGGTGTATATCGGGAGGAAGAAAATAAAAAATTATAGTGAGCCGGCTAATTTTGGTACGAAAATTCGACCACTACGAACCTTCCACAAGGACCAACGAAAACAAACTGAGCCACTGTTCCGCTATCCGAGTTCGTATCCGCCGGACTCCCTCCTTCCGGCCCGCGCCATCCGCCAGCGCCATCGTACCTGCGCTCTATACAGGGTGTCAATATATTTATGGAACAACTTTGGAAGATCACAAAAGTCGATATAGAAAGATATCGATTTATTTATTAAGTTAGAAGCGAGTTGAAGTTCTGAAGAAAATGAGATGGAATAAAATGGGGGTGTAACGAAGATGAAACTACCTTGCTTCGTTTCATACAAATTTAAATTGCTTGTAATGCTTGATAAATCTCTGATGCATTATTTTTATGTGCAACAACTTTTGTGTGGTTGTTCTGCCCTCCAGAATAAATCGAGTAAAATGTATCATGAATATATATTAACACCCTGTATATCCAAGATCTATTCACCATCACGGGCGAATCCCACCCTAACCGTTTCCATTCGAAACTCCAGCTGACGCTTCCGACAACTGCATAGTCCCATCTGCATAGTCTTTCTCGCTCATTTTTCCATCGACACGATCGTTTCACCTCGTTTTCTGTGGCCCTTTAAACCCCTTTTTCAACCGACTTTATCGAGCACTGCCGATGCGCTTGGCCGAAGTCATAAGCCCCTTCTCGTGCCGGCTTATTCCTACGTACGTGTCAATTTATCACGCTTTTTAAATTATCGCGCCACGCGGATCACCCTCTTCCTCTCTTTCTCTCTTCCCCCCCTTTTTTTTCTAGACCGGTCTTGCTATCTACGCGCACGAGAAACGATGGTTTGTAGTTGGCTACAACTACATAAGTTCTAGGTGCATCGAACAATTTGATATTGATACCGAATTTCCTGTAATTCTCTGCTTTTACGAAAGGAAATCTGTATGGCTTTCGTGATACCTATCAGGGTAATTATTAAGGGAATCGATGATAATGGATTCGACGAATACAGTTGTTTGCGGTTATCTTTAATTGTCTGTGGTTATTTAAACGAATTTTTTTTCTTGGTCAATTGATTATATTTTAACAATATATTAGTAGAATAATTGTATTTTAATTGTATTTAATTTGTCTCTTTTATTTCTTGTGATTTGATATCACATATTGTTACTGATACGTTTATATTTAAAATTTTTATTATATTTATTTATTTTTTAAATGGAAGTATTTGAATGAACGAGTTGCATCCAAAATCAAATGATCAGTATATATATTCTAATTTAAAATTGTCGATATTACCAGGTATTGATAAAAATGATAACGTAATAAGACCAATAAATTGTGATTACAAAAGGCAATGATCTCTTCTAATTGAGCAAATTAGAATAATAATGGCGATCGAAATTATCCGAAAATATTGCAACTTTATTTATAATTTTTGATTTTATGGATTTTTAACATTAAAAATATAATTTTTGTCAAATATTATTCGAAATTGTAAAAAGGATTGGTTTAATAAAATTAATTAGATAAAACTTTTTCTATAAATCAAGAAATTGATGAAAAAGACAAAGCTTCTGCTATTATTTGCAGTTACTATTGGATTAATTTAGTTCGTGCAATATGCCATAATTAGTACTGACATTATCATAACTAGAGTTGTTAAAGCAAGTAAACTACTGTCCAATTCCTACAGAATAAGCGGATTGTTAGTTATGCGTAATCATGCTCGTAAAATTAATCAGAATCTACGCAGTAATGTAGGAAAATCTAGTACACGAAAATGGTATGACCTAGAACAGTATTAATAGACTATCATAAACTAATATCTCCACAAACTTCTCTTTCTTCTATTTTATTCTACTTATTTTATAAAGAAAATTAATAAAATAATTTTTTAATTATTTTCTTAAAACGAGTCTTTTCTTTAAAAATTTTTTCTCATTACTTTTGCATTTAAATGCAATTATGGAAAATAATTTGTTTTATAAAACGATTATTGTGAATAGTAACACCATCTAGTGCAAATAATTGGTACTAGAAGCTATTGGTACTACTTCTGCAGTTGGTGCAGAAAAATTTTCTATAAAAATTTCTTAGTTTATTGTTAAAGAAATTACTAAATAATTATTACAAGATAAAGATTGTGCGAAGAATAAAATTTTAAGAAAAATAGTTTTAATTTTAAATGATAAAAGTTTGAGAAAAAAATTCTCATCGATTAAAGACTGAAATACCAACAAGTTTGTGAAACAACTGCAGTACCGTCAGTGGCCATACTGTCTACTATTAAAGATCAGAATTACTTACCATACACGTAACATCCTGTTTCACATCGCTTATGGATTGGCAGTGTAGATACCTCCACTGTTATTTCTACTATACTTAATCCTTAAATTCCTAGGATTTAAAGGGTTGGTAATAGGGATAAATGAGTGTACAAACGAAAACTTGTAGAATCGATTCTGTATAACGATGTTTTATTTGCTTAAGAATTGATTGAACAAATTCTATTGACGAAAATTCGATGAAACTTTTACTGATACGTTAAAATTTAATAAAATATTATTTATAATATATTAAAAAGTATAAATTGATTTAAAAACTGTTTAATAATATTTAGATAAATTAAACTTATTTAATTAATTCAAGATTAATCAAACAAATATTATAGATTTTCTTATTTTGTAGTCGAATTGTTATGTCATTTATATAAAATATGCAAAACATACATAACATGAAAACTATATATTTGCACAAAATTCCTCAATCTAATTTTCATATCAGTCCATAGCACAGTAGCATAAATTTTTCTTTATGTTCAATCTCAAACAACGATAGATATTAAATCGTTACTTTCTCTCGAAAGATTTCATCGACATGGATGATCGCATGAAACAAAATGAACAAGACGCACGCAATGTGTTCGGTTCCCACGTAATCAAATACTGTTCCTACCGGCGTTCTCATTCTTCAAGGCAGAAAGTGATTCCACGGAGGATTGAAGTTCGAGATGTCGGAGGTAATCTTCCGAATTGGTACGATCTTTAGGGATTCGATGAAAGGGTATTGGCACAATTACCGTCACCATGACGTAGCTATTCTGCGGACGTAGCTATTGCGTTCCTTCCATTCTTTCCCTTGCAATCATGTCGTTCGCCAACTATCTAAAGATTCTTTTAATCGTGTCTGGATTATTATTTTTCTTTACTATTAATTTGATATTACGTTTATGATTTTATCATTTTGGTGATATAAATATAGATATTGTTCATTTTAAATCGCTCATTGTTATACATAGCTATACTTTTATGATATAAAAATATAAGGATTATTCTCAGAGTATTAAATTCAGAGTATATTTTAAAATTTTTATAACATTATATAGTTTATTTGCTATTTATATTTTGTTTGATTTTATTTTACGCTTCTTGTGATTCTTTTATGTTTATTCTTGTTATTGGATTCTTATTGGATAATTCCAATTGTTAAATATTGTAATCTTCAATTTTTATAAATTGACATATACTACATACAAACTCAATGATGAAATGTAGTATTCATTCATTCTTTTGTCTGATTAGTATCATGATAATTCTACTTACATATACATAAATTTATAAAATTGTGTTCATTTTATTATTAGACTAACTTCCTAAAAAGGATCATTTAAATAATACAACAAGATCAAAAAAAGAAACTCTATTTTTCCAAATATTTACCATAGAATACCTCTTCTTTAACTTTCTCAGACTACGAGATTTCAAATGCACCATTACAAATACTTTCAAAGCATTATTCAAAGATTCTGATGCAGAATTTCTTCGACAAACTTTAATCTCTTAGAATAATTCCAAATCAAACGTACGCGAATCTGAGAGAAGATAAGGCATCAAAAATACCTCGAATTTCTTGTCACCTCGACTTCGAGCGTAGAAGAGAAACAGAGATTGTTAGTAATCCCTAAATATAAATCACGGACGTGCGCGATGAATGGGCGGCGAATTATAAACGCATAGCATCCTCACTTTTCGAAACAATCGTCCCCGTTTATTACCGCAAACCTGTCCGACCGAAAATTCCCACGGGGAGAGTCGCCACCGGCGGGATCTGAACGCGATGGCGTTTTACGTTACGTGAGAAAATCGGCGTGGAAGATTGCACGCGGGGAAATTAGATAGTGGCATAATAAGAAAAGTAAGGGAACTCGTTAGCCGGCTGACAACACCGCGCGCCCCGACCCGTGTTTCTGCCACACGCGGTTTTAATTACTACATTCTAATAGAAATTCGTTTATTCGTTTTAATTGGTCGTTTTAAGGCCAGTTTGGTTTCGGCGCGCCACCCCTGTTCGAGGAAGAAATTACCATAGGCTGGTGAGAAATTGGAAAGGGATGGATAAGGAGGAATGGAAATTTGTTAAAAAAAAAAAAATGAGAAGGAAAACAAGGAAGGGGGAGTAATTAAAAATAATTGGGGGAGAAGGAGTTGGGGTGGGAATTTGTAACAAGCGTGTGGATGTGTGTGTGTACAAATATATATGGGATTCGTTTCTCGTTTTTCATTCCGTGTTTTTTTTCTTTTTTTTTTTTTTACACGCGTACTCCAATTTTAAAACCTTTTCATCTCGACGATTTGTTCCGCAAAAACTTTCCCCAACGTCGTAATCAGCGGAATTTGGATCTCGTTTCGTTCGCGGTTTGAATAAGGGGAAATAATATATCTGTCTCGCTTTTTCACGCGGACGAGATCGGAATAGTTTCATCGATGCGGTATCAAATTGTCAAGGATGTGTGTATTAAAGTATTAATTGTATATAATTTTCCAATGAAGTGCTTTTTCTTTATATTACGTTCTACATTTTATTTTCATTATCATATCAAACGTTTATTGTTATACGAAGGTATCATATTGAATGAAATGTAATATACTATGTATATGTATATTAATTAAAATTGTGGATTTATTATATTTTCTAGAAAGTTTTAAGAATTCTGGAAATCTATGATGTTTATATTAAAGTATTTGTGGATTTAGTTTTATCTTATATTCAGAATTATTCGATTAATTAATTTAAATGCTTAAAAATATAAGGACACTTGTTAAAGAGAAATTTAAAATTGGAAATTGATCGAGATCAGACGAAATTACGTTTCAAATATGAAGAATGAATTTGTATAATATTGAGATGCAGTTCGAGGATTATTAAAAATTGAGAGAGAGATATTTTTTGCCAGTTTTCCTCAACGAGAAATCAATAGCGATTAATTAACATTTGATGGCTCGAAAATGATGAAACTTTATTATCAATTTTATTAAGTATTTAAAATATAAAATTCAAAGTTAAGAGGATTTATTACATGTATTATGTTAATCAATCCTTTCATGACTAAGAATAATAAGACTAGAGTAATTTGAGACAATTATATTGTTACTTTTTTCTGATGTCAGATTTACTGCAACATATAAACACACTAGAAATAAGGTTACACATCTCATTTTTTCTCTTTAATTTATATTATTATAATATCTGAAAGAAAAATCCATCTTGAAATTATACAAGAGCTATAAAGAATTAATATCGATTCATTCAACTTAAAGCAATCATTAAATAGCATATTAGCAAATAAACATAAAACGACTTATATATTATATATTCTTTTTCACTTTTTCTACAATTTCATTCATAATAACAATGAAACCAAAATTTCCAATAACATATCACGACATCTCACGAAATAAAATACCTATCTCATTTACCATAATAAGAACAGCGTAGATCGCGCTATTCTAAAGGGTTTTTCGCCCCTCGTCGTTCAGCCTCGTTCCATCAGCGAGGGTCAAGCCGTTCGCTAAACTACCTTTGCCTCCCTTTCGTTACAAAGAAATCTTACGCATATGGCCGAGTAATCCCCAAGGCGAAGTGTGGCGGTTTCTTCGGTCTTAGTTCGAGGAACTAGGACGTCCGATATTAAATTCTCGTGGCGAGGCAAGAAATCCGACGTCATCTTCCATCGGAACGGGCCTTTTTCGCCAACGTTTCTCGCAAATATTGACACGATATTTTCAACTCGCGTTTTCATGCCGTACCACCACCTCCACCACCTTTCCATTTTAACGAATTCCATCGGTCATGAAAGGCTTCGTTCTTCTTCTTCTTCTTCTTCCCGTTCATTTTCATTCGTTTTATTTCTCCATCTCTTCTACTTTTTCTCCCCTCTCTTTCATCTTTTCTATTTTTTATTTTTTCTTTTTCTTCTTCTTCTTCCTCTTTTTCCTGAAACGTTTTTTCTTTGGTTTGTTCGTAATCGATAGAGGAACGACTTTTCATTCGAACGTTAAATCTATTTTTTCTTTTTCTTTTATTTTTTTTTTTTGCAACTCGACTGCGCGAATGGATAAGGGAGGAGAAACTTGTTAGCCGACTGATTCGAGTGGACAAAAGCTGCACAATCTGGCAAATAGGTGCCGGCGAAGGGGACAACCTCTCTTCATTGTTCAACGTTCCCTTATTCATTTTCGCCATTACTTTCTATCGGGATCGAATCCAGTGAGATAAAAAAAAAGGGGTCGATCTTACCCCCTTGATTCGAGTCGTTTGTTACATCATGCTGTTTATTTTTTGGAGATTACTTTTCTCGGTTGATATCGTGTACGTATGCACATGTGCTTTTGACATGACGTTTATCGAAGTGTACATTTATAAATGTTTGAACAATTATCTAATATTATTATATAATAGAAAAAATTTGTTGAATAAAAATTGAATAACTTCAAAAAGAGTAGATTTTA